GGAGGGATGCGCCGCGCCGCCCAGCTCCCCTGCCCTGCCCCTGCCCTGAAGCGGAAAGTTCGGGGGCCGGGGGCCGCCCTGCTCCTCCCGCACCAATGACTGCCCAAGGACTGCCGCCGGCCAGCCTCCGCCGCGCTCCGCCGTCGCTCTCCAGGTCGTAATGAACTGTTCCAAGCTGTACCCAAGGCTCTCCCTCCTCGTCGCTTCCTCCCATTCCTTTATAAAGATTGAGTTCTTAATTCAAGAAATTGTCATCCGTCGGCTTCTTTCCTCGTGAATCATTTAGACCCCGGGCCTCGTTTCCGAGTGTAAGAGGGGGTGCGGTCTCCCCCAAGACGGCTCGCCGGAAGGACAAATTCCCCCGGGCCGACCCACGGACAGCATGAAGAGGTGCAAGTCGGACGAGCTGCAGCCCCAGCAGGGAGAGGACGATGGGGCTGGGCTGGAAGATGCCGCCTGCCACCTGCCGGGCGCCGACCCCCGGCCCGGGCTGGCCATGGGTGCTAACTCCGCTGGCGGGCCAACTTCAGACGCGGGCGCCGCCGCGGCACCCAACCCCGGCCCCCGCAGCAAGCCTCCCGATTTAAAGGTGAGCGCAGACCCTCCCCTGGTCAGCCCAGCGGGGGCTTAGCTTTCCCCGCCCCACGCAGAAGGACTTTAACAGGGTACAAGTGATGGGGAAGCCAGGCCAAGGTCAGAGAGGATGCTGGGCCAGAACCCAGGGCTGAACTTCAGGTACCGTTGGGCTTTCAGCTCTGTTTCAGGCTTCTGTGTGTGTTCGTCATTGTTCAGCAATGTGACTTCTAGTGACTCACCTGTAGCAGACTGAATGATGTGTGTGAAGTGCTGTTCTCAGACAAAGGGCTGGAGAAATCCAAGATGCTAACCAAAAAGTTGGCACCACTTTCCTTCCTGTAAGATGGCAGGGGAGAAAAATGACAGCGTGGAAAGCCAGAGAACCGTTAATTTCCTTTGCTGAATTAGTTTCCCCCTTGGGGGACCTTTCTGGATGAAGCTCAGTTTGTCCATCTGTGAAAGGGGAGTGTGGATTTCTTGCCGTTAGGTGGAGCCAGAGGTTAAGCTAGTGCTTGGAGATCCCTGCCTGCCTGCTTGCGGAACCAACCCCCAGGGTGGAGAACTGACAGGTGGCCAAGCGGCGTTTGGGCTGGTTTGGGGCCTCGGTTCAAGTTGCACACATGCTGAGCCGGCAGTTAGAACTAGAATCCGAGCGAGCTGATCGCATGCAGCTGGGAGTCGTTTGTTTTCCAGCCTGAGGTTGCCGAGACAGTTGAACATGTCTCTATATTAATTAAAACGGCAGCTACGATAAATAATGCACCTTTGCTGGAGCTGCCACAGGGACTGCAGGCTCAGGCTTCTCAAGCCAGCTCACCTCCAGACTGAGCGAGATGTCAACCCAAGGAAGGAACTTAGATGCCTTGGAGATTGATACTTCGGGGAGATTTTCTCCAGAGGGGTGCAAGGTCTTGACTAGGGGAGTGAAAGGACTCCATTATGCTAAATAAAGCCTGTATCCTATAGCAGCAGACACTAAGGAGCTCCCCAGAATAAGCCAATGACATTCCTCGTTTGGCCTGAGCGGCTCAGAGTCAGGAAGTCAGAGCGCAGGTGAGTGTGCTCTTACCTGTGTGTGTTACCTGTCTTTGTTCCTTGGGGAGGGATGAGGAGGACAGCTCGCTCCTTATGTGTAATTTTTAAAAATTGTAGTAGTTACTCGAATGTGACCTCTGGTTCTGCTGCCCTTTTCAGGGGTTTGGGGCTAGCGTTGTGCCTAAAGATGAGCTCCGCCGGCTCGGCTGTGCACAGGAAGCCTGGTGCCTGGCCCAGCTGTCACCCTTGAGCCCACCATGTGTGCTCCGGAGGTGTGGGTCCTGTTTTACACGAGATGGTGAAGGGACAGGGATGCCCTTAATGCTGTTGTGGGGAGGGGCCAGCCTTCTGCTACACACTTTAGCTTCATTTGGGGCTGATGTAGATGAGTTTGGCCAGCAAATTCTAATTCCTAAATCAGGTGGACCCTCACCCCGAGTCCAGCAAGGGCAGCCTCGGAAACTCCCCACGCTCCAGTTCAGGCCGGCAGTGGAAACTGTGAGCTCCAGTCATCCCCCACTTTCCCTCCCCCCCAGGTGGGCTGGTTGTGGTGTGAGGGCTGCATTGTCTGTCTCTGTAGATAAAGCTACTTTAAGAAGCTTGTTCACCTCACCTTGTATCATCTCTCTTTCTCTTTTTCTCTTTGATGACACCTTCATTCTGGTTGCGGCAGAAATAGCAACAACCATATACTTGGTATTAAACGCTCAACTTCCCTGAAACAAAATTAAGACCAGGTGTAACAAACGGAGTTGGACCCCCCCATTTCCACCCCCGAGCAAACATGCCACTGAAGTGGGTCACAGCCATGTGGACCCAGGTTGGCAGCAAGGAGTAGAAAACATAGCTGCTGCCTGCTGGTGGGAGCACAGGGAGACGAGCGGCGCTGTTTATCTCTGTCTGCTTTCTCATATGTTGACAGGGTAAGGACTTCAGAACCAAGCATGTTTACAGGGTAGGGACTCCAGCACCAGACATGAGCTTGGGAGCTATTGCAGTTTTTTATTGTGTGATCTCAAGCAAATCACTCAACTTTTCTGAGCCTTTTTTCTGGGGAAAGGTACTAGAAATATTACAGTGTGTCCAAACTTGTTTTCCCGTGCTGGCACAGTTTTCCAACGATGGAAAAATTCCATCATTGACTCTAGCACTGGGTCGAAGCTGACTTGTTTTAGATTTGATGGCAGTACCAGAAAGGGGCAAGTTTAATTTTTTAACACCCCCTACTTTACACCTATGTTTGGCTTAGGGAGACCAGCAGTTCTGGCTTGCTTTTGTTTTCATTTTAAACTTTGGAGATAGGAACTTTTGGCCCCTTAGTCCCACTTCTATTTTCTTGTGACAGTTTTAGGCATTGTGATGGATTCAGTGCATTGGAGGAAATAATCTTGAGAAAGGGGCAAGAAAATAAGGTTTTCTGAAGCACTTCTATTTTGGGGGGGGGGAATTTTACTCTTTGCTAAAGAGATCTGAATGATGCCCAAACTAGTGGCAGCTGGAGGTGTCAGGGGCTGCTGTGGTCCCCCTTCCCTTCCTTCAGCATTGTGGAGCATCTCACTCTGCACTGCTTCCAGTGGCTGGGCATCTGTGGTTAAGGGGTGGGGAGGGCCAGTGAAAAGAAAGAAAAATAGTTAAGCAGCAATCTTAAAAGAGCAATCGTAAAGCTGTAACTGAAAATGAACATTGCCCCGCAGGAGGCTTATGCAGCTAGGTTGGGGGCCTTCTCAGCTACTCCTCACGCCACAATTCAGTCACATCCCTACCCGCTGTGGCTTAGATTCTTATTGAATAGCTCAGGCTCATGTCTTGATTCCATTGTCATCATTATCTAGTCCTTTGCTGCTCCCAGAATCCCTGCTAGGAGATGCCGGGATTGTTCGTCACAGATAGTGCTGGTTGACCAAAAGTACACTGGAATTCTCCAGTGAGAAAACCCAGCTCCCATGGGGAGGAGCTCAGGAAAACTGCAGAAAGGAACCTGGAGCACACATTCTTGTTAAAAATACAGCAAGTGATAGATATTGTTGAGGCCTGGGCTGAGTGGCTAAGCCTGGTGTGGTTCTGTCTGTTTGCAGTTCAGAAGGCAAGGGAGGAAATCCCCCAACCTT